TTCTTCTTCTTCTTCTTCTTCTTCTTCTTCTTCTTCTCCTCCTCCTCCTCCTCCTCCTCCTTCTCCTCCTCCTCTTCATTTAGCCAAAGAGTCACTGCTCCACTTTCAGATTCCAAAAAGCACATATGGCCTCAGCTGCTTCTCCACCTATGTCGATGAAGTTATATTACAAAAGGCAATTTCTGGTAATTGATGTTTATTTTTTAAAAAGACACATTTAAGTTTTCCTCTGGTTAGTTTACTGAAGCCAAAATACCAGTTACATTAGATTCATACCTTATTTGTTCCTGATAAGTTTAGAAATTGTGGCTAAATAAGTATACTATTTTTTTTCCAATTATTTTTCATAGTGCATTGAAATCAGTCTCCTGAGATGGAACTGGGAAGAATTCAGAGAGATAAGGCATTTGTTTTTAACCGAATTAAATTATCAAATGCAACAGTATTTTCTGTGAGTCACCGCAACAGGCCTTTGAGCTGCCAAAATCTCCTAGAAGATTCAGAGAGATTAAATTGTGGATATGATCAGCAGCTTTTCAAAACTCTTTCATCTTATTGCTATTTCCTTTTCTTCCTCTTCCTTCCTTCCCTCCCTCCCTCTTTCTTTCTTTCTTTGGGAGGAGGAGTTCCTCTCCTGGAGAGCTGCTTTTTCTCTTAAGTTCTGCTCCCCTATTCTTACCTATATCCACAGTTCTTTGGTCTGACTACTTGAGTTGTCAGGATCCCACACTTGGCACCTCAGTCCCATGAAAGAGCCACATTCTCAAAATAAAGCCCACAGCAAACACAGCTTGGCCACCATCAGTCCCTCAACCTAGAAACACGTCGAAACGCTTTCAGCCAAGGAGCATTTGAATTTAAATACAGCACTGAAAGAAGAGTCTTTGGTTGTAATTAATTTAGGAGGGGTGGAGCAGAAAGCAATTCTATCTTCCTACCTTGCCAAGGCGGTAATAATCTTTAGGTTTCAATAAACTAATGAAACCCTTAATCACCTCTGGATAAATTATATAATATTTTCTGTTAAGAAAGTGGTTTTCTTTCTCCTTATTTCATAGTTTTCTTCAAGTCT